TATTTATTTAATTTATATTGCGTAGATTGTTTTTGAAAATAGTCTGACTAATCAAAAAACAATTTTCTTTTGTCCGATTTTTTAATCATGTCTGTCATACTTCATCAATCAGTTCATATTAAAAAAAATATACAAAAATACAGAATCAAATGACGTATATACATATTTTTCTACTTTCTCTTATTTTGCAATAATCTATGAAAAAAAACGTATAGTATATTATATTAGTAATTACTTATGAATAGCAGTTCTTTATTATTAATTTTGATATACATCATTGGCTAAATAAGATTAGCATCTTGATGAAATATAAATAATAAATCGATATTCTCCTTCTTATTTCGTATGAGATTTATTAGATTAAACCATGACTTGTGATCAACTATTTATTCTTTAGCTAATTAAATATATTTCATAATATAAAATTGCGTTTATATATTAAACTGCAAACAAGGAATATACTTAAACTCAAATTTTTTAATACTGATTTCAAAAAAAGAAGTGAATCTTCATAATAATAATTTCATATTATATCTAAGTAATACTTGTTCATAAATTTTCGATTTTATTTGAAAGTCATCGTCAGACGAATAGTACTTTAAGGTTGTTAAAATGACACTCGCCAGCCATAACTCCATTACATCATTACTCCTACGATAATAAGTATTGATAATAATCACCTTGATAACAATAATCAGCAAAATAATGTCACCTTGATGATCATCACCATGATAACAATCTCTAAAAGCTTTACTAGACCTTTACCAAATACTTGTACTTTTAGTATGGAATAGTACTCAAAAACTTCATTATCATAACCAAACTTGAATAAATCAGACTAAAGATTGATTTTATTAAAGCTTATTATTATTAATTATTCATTTGCTTAATTATATTAAGTGAATCTTCATCATACAGATAAATATATCTGAAATTCTAAGTAAATTTTTTTATGTATATATTAGCATATAAATATGCAAAACAAAAATTACGTAAATAGATACTAAGCTTTCTTCTCTTTAGCTGGCTCAATAAGATGAAATATCAATGAATCAATCATATCCTTCAATATAAAAATTTTTTTTTATTAATGAACAATAAAATCAAATCTTTTCAAGATTGTATCTATCAATCATATAGTTCTTATTAAAAATCACTTTGAAACTATTTGAAAGAAGAGTATTAGGTTTTTTTCAATAAAAAATAATCATATAGGTACAAACTATTATAGTTTATGAAGAATATCTATAAAATATAACAATTATATATATTCAGATATGTTCTTTTTTTTTAATTTGTTCTAAACAAAAATAATTATATCATGATTAGAATATGATCTATTGACTAGCTTTTTTTTCTTTCATTAATTTTTTACCATTGAAATCATTCTAACATTATTGAATCAATGATTTGAATGAAATATGACAAAGTGAATGGACATACACGTATCGTTACACTTCGTTGCTCATCCTACGCTATTACTCAAAAGAAAAACAAAAAAAAATGCAGAAAGAAAGAGGAGTTATACTTTATGTATCATACTCCATTTCATTATTACTATATATATACATATCGAAAGAAATAACATTCTATAAAGCAATAATATGGCAGATACGAAGCCAAACAATACGGCAGATACGAAGCCAAACAATACGGCAGATACGAAGCCAAACAATACGGCAGATACGAAGCCAAACGATACGGCAGATACGAAGCCAAACAAGACGGCAGATACGAAGCCAAACAAGACGGCAGATACGAAGCCAAACAAGACGGCAGATACGAAGCCAAACAAGACGGCGGATACGAAGCCAAATAATACGGCAGATACGAGGCCAGATGAAGCGGTCATTGAACATCCGCTTAGTAATGATGGTTACCTACCAAAGTTATCGATTGAACTACCTCCAAGATATGGTAAGAATCATTTTCATTCTAGTTTCACATGAGGTCATATCAATTATTTACTCATTATGAAAAAAAGTCATAGAAGTATGAGTCATCTCTTTATATGAAAGTTGCAGTATTTGAAATTAGTTTTGTTGTCATTCACATTATGAAAAAATCATATGTAAATATAATCAAAGTATCTAGTTTAGAATGGCAAACATATAATAGCTAAATATTCACTTTAGATAAAATAGTTTTTATTCATTAAATAATGTGTGCCATAGTAAAATATGTTTTCTAAATAAGATTTAATTGAGAAAGGTGAATTAGTAAAAATATTCTTCAGAGAATATTTATTGGAAGAAATAGATGTTTTAGAAAAAGATGAACACTATACTGGAATGATATTTCTTTATAGAATTATTACATTTCAATTTTTTATTCATTTTACAAAAATAGTATAACCTAATATAAATAAGTCAGAAAAATATTTTTATTATTGTATAGAATTTCTTCTTTTAAAATTTTGATTATTTTTATTGTGCAAATATGAGATAAATTTTATGAATATTTTAGATACAGCTCAATCTTCAGCATCAAGTCAAATTCATCAGCAATCTAGTGGCACTTCGTTCAAGTATGGTCAAGATCCTCTCAACTGTAAGTGCATATATTGTCATCAACAAGTTGTAACACGCATTGAAAAAGAGAATGGCTTGATAGCATGGATATGTTGTGCAGTTCTTCTCCTTATCGGCTGTTGGCTTGGATGTTGTTTAATACCATTTTTTATTGATGATCTTAAAGTATGACTAACATTTATTTGTTTGATTAGTCTATTCATGAATTTTATTTAGAATAAAGCTCACTACTGTCCGCATTGTGGAAAAAAATTGGGAGTATTGAAGTGGATATAGCATAATTAACGACAAGAATATACTAACTGACTTATTCTAAATGTTTCTAATATTGTTTTAAATATATCGGTTTTTTTTACTTAATAAATTATCAAAACAAAAAAAAATAATATCATTATTTATTTCCTCTTATTTTTTCTGTTGATGATAGAGAAGATAAAAGGAAATCGTCCGTTCAATGTATTTATCAATTCGATGTCACTATTCAAATTGACTAATATTTTTATTTTGGTTCCTTACTGGAACTTTTCTAACATTTTTTCACGTATACTTACATAAGAAAATATACATTGATTTTTGTAAAAGTTTGAATATGAACAACTGTTATCAAGCTACGAACGTACACAAGTTAGTAGATGAATAGATGTTTACTGTTGTCACGTTCTTCGTGGATCGCACTTACTTCCATTTATTTGTATATACACTGTGATTTTAACAATAAAAAAATTTTTTTTTATATTTTATTTTATTTTTGAGAATAGAAGTTATTTCTTTCACTCTTTGAATGTTGCAAGGTGGAAGCATTGAAGAGAAATACAATCAATGATATTTAATATTCGTAACAATCTCGTAACAGCCTAGGACATATAGAGTAACAATTCAAGACACATCATTTAGTACGTTCTTTTCTCTATTTGCAGCATGAAAATGAATGTATTCGTTTCGAAGAGCCAGAAGAAAAAAAAGAATTGTATCGTTCTTACTAACATTTATTTTTCATTTCTTATAGTTGAAACACATATTTATATAATTCGAAAAGCAACGTAAAATTATGTCTACAAACAATTCAAATACAACTGCAACGACTTCAAAACCTGTAACTGATCTCGAAGTAGCTCGTACAGCTGCACAAACTGATCATAGACATCATCCTATTCCTATACCAGACCATGTAACGAAAGCAGGACATACACAAGGAACACAGAAAAAACTTACTGAATCAATTGAAGCTAATACCAGTACTCATACTGAAAATCATTCAAATAATAAAACAGCAACATCATCATCGGGACAAATTGCTAATCAAACAACAAAATGATAAATATAATCGAAGAATTTTCTATAAACATGAACGTTATATATCTATTTTTGTATTTGATTGAATTAATTTTTTATATGTATGGACATATCGTAAAAACGGTTTGAAATGAACTTTTAATATAGCTTAAAGAAATAGATTTGTTTCATATTCTTAAAATTATTTTAATATTTTTTAACAGATTCGTCGTCATATCTAAATTATATTTTGTTTTATCAACTTTCTATATATTGAAATCTTTTTTTTATAAGAGAAAAATGATCACATTATTTATGAAACTTTCTGTCTCTGAACATGTAAGTATAAGTAACATATCTGAGTATGTTGTATGTGAAACCATGAATTTTGTTGACTTATCAAGGTCTTTCTTTTTCATTTCGGTATCAATTTTTTTACTTTCTAAAAAATTAACAACTTTTTCTTCTTCGATAAAAAATGAAGAACTACCAAAGAAATTCTGAGTAAAAGAAAAAGAAACAAAAAGTGAAAATAATTACACAAGATCATTTAAATAGTTAGAAAAATAAATATTTTTTTTCTAGCTTCTGTAATCGTGAGAGGTGATTTAACAATTACGTCCAGGTGGACATCTTATTACGTTTACTTGAAGATGTATGATTTGATTTCGTTAGGATATGCTTAATGTAATGAAGTTTAGAGTCATCAATTAGTGTATATCAAAAAAGAACAGGTCTATTCATAGAACGTACTGTAAATGTAAACTATTAAAACTTGTGTCCATACAACAGAAGCGATGAGTATAGATTTATATATTATACTTACAAACTACATCTGCACTCATCAAAGGAAATATTGTGTTTTATTTTTTGGTTTATTAAAAATTTTATCAAATATTCTTGAAAATGACTAGATCGAGTATTTGATGGGGATTTGTGTGCTAGTAAATAAATAAAATACGATACTATAGTTGCTATTCCGTTGATTTCTATAAATAGAAATGTAATTACATAGGTAATAGTCTGTATATTAATAAATATGGTTGAAACCGTTAAAAGAATTTTTTTTAAATATCTGAATATTTATATAAGAAAAAGTTTGTCTGGAAAATAATTGAAAAACGAAAGATTTACATTTCAAATAAGGAAATATATAACAATCTTTTTGTAACGACTAAGTCACATTCAAGAATAATTCTCATTTCTTAAAAATCAATTGTATAACGTGTCTTATATCATATTTTTGCTAAAAATAGATTGCATTGACAAATTATTTAAGGTTCTTTTCGTTGTTAAAAGACTTTAAATCAAACTATTCTTCATAATTCCTGTAAAACTATGTGTTTAAAAAACAAAATAGATCTAAAACTTTTTATTGCTTTTTGATATCTGATTTATTTTTCAAATCGTTACATATTATAAACCAAGGTTAAACAATAAATGGTGACATATATATATATACGTCATCGAAACAATAAGAATGGTTTTTTTTATTATTATCGTCATTATGAATAGCTTAGTCACCTGTACATATATCTAAAAAAAGGTACGAAATATAATTAACAAGATGCTTTGATACATTAGTCATAATAACAAAAAAAAAAACGTATATTCGCTTTCTTTACTTTATAATCATATGAGATATAAGCGTAGGATAAAAATATAAATACATCGTCACTAATGGCAATAAACCATGACTATTTTAATACTGCGTAAATAATCAAAAGAATAATGAGTGATATGTATATATATATAGAATATACCTACTCACTCTCATAAACTAATTTATAAGAAGAAGAAAAAAATCATCTTTTAATAACGTCATTACTCTTATTGATCAATAAAAATTATAAAGTATGTGTATTTTTTTATTTAAAATTGAAATACTTCACTAAACATGTCTTGAATTTCTTTTTACGAAAATATATTGTTATTGTAAATTTAAATCTTTTTATGCTACATAGATGACTCAATATTCTAAGAAGAAACGTACTCTTTCTCTTGAACATTTACTTCACGTACATCATCATCATCATCATATCAACGATCAGCAACAGAATGATTCAATACAAAATCAGAAGGATATAGAAAGGATTTTTACTATTTTGAAAGACATGAAGGATATGTCTATGACACCAACACCATTGTATACATTATTTTTTCATAATACATAATTTATATGTATATTAAAATGATTTCTTTCAGGGAATTCTCCTGTTGGTCAAGACATCCAATTGCAACAGCTGTTGGAATATTTTTTCTCTTTACAAGTATAGCAATGATTACTGGTGTGTTGATTGTAAGTCTGACATCATCCAAATCAAAAGGTATATATTTGTGAACTAGATTTTAATAATTGTTTTATTTAATTTAGTTCAACAGTGTGAGTTGAATTTTACAGCAACAGTTCCAAATACAATTGAGTATTATTACGAACCTCGATCTGTTGCAATTGGTGATTTCAATAATGATAATTTATTAGATATGGTTATTGCCAATCGAGCTGTTAATAGTATAACAATATTTCTTGCCCAAGATCACGGTATTTTCAAAGGTGAAATTAAATATTCAACTGGTTTGTATTCGACTCCGTCAATGGTGACTGTTGGTGATTTTAATCATGATGATCAACTCGATATTGCTGTTGCAAATTTTGGTACCAATTGCATAGGTATATTTCTAGGATATGAAAATGGTTCCTTTGATAAACAAATTGAAATTTCTACTGGTATATCACGTCCACGTTGGTTAAATATAACTGATATTGATAATGATAAAATTCTTGATATTGTTATCGCTAATTATGGGACTGACATGATTAGTATTTTATTCGGATTTGGAAATGGTAGCTTTTTAAATCCGATTGCATATTCAACAGGATATGATTCTTTACCATTTTATGTTGTCACTGGAGACTTTAATAATGATAATCAGTTAGATATAGTTGTTGCTAATTATGGTACAAATAATATAGGTTTATTTCTTGCAAATGGAAACAGAACTTTTCTAGATCAAAAGACATTTTCAACTGGTATAAATTCTCATCCATCTTCAAT